CTAGACCTCATGGAAGCATAAGGATATTCTATCAATTGTGAAACAAAAACAACAGTGGTTCATCCCAGCTGAAGTTTGGTTACCCACTTCCTTGGCGTCCCCAATAGCGGTGCATATTGACCCTTTCTTTGTCTTAAAAGATCGCTTTGGCTATATCGCTGATAGTTCAAATCTTTCTATCTACTGTATGTCTCTGTGCTTCTAAGGTGATCAATTCCATAGAGAAAATGTCTATAAAAGCTTCCTTTGGAAAGGAAATTGTGATTCGGGTCTTCACCTTGTTAGATGGTACAAAAATTTCCTCCCTATCGAGGATGGTGACTTAGGTCTCCATAGGCTTAGAGACAAGAGAAAAAAGGCCCTTTGGAGGAAAATTGTTGATGCAAAGTATGTGGCCTCCTTATTCCTTGTTGAATAACAAGCTGGGAAATCACTACTACTGCTAAAGGTCCGTTAGCCTCTGCTCTTCCATATCTCTCAAAAAGCAAGTCTCTAGTAAAGATATGTGGGTGGAAGAAAACGACATATGGAACTTGGGTTTGAGAAGGAATCTTAAAGGATGTTGAAATCAAAGAATGGACAGAAATATTCCACCTTTCATCAGTACACTTGACCCAAACAATGTAAGGACTTGGAAGGTTGATAAAAATGGCTTCTTTTCTACAAACTCCCTTCTACGGTACATTTCTCTCAGATTACCAAACCATAACCTTCTTTATATGAATCTATTTGGAAGGAGCATTATTCAAATAAAGTTAAATTTTTCCTAGGGGAACATAGCCACTCCTAGGATGCCATACATGAGAATCTCTCCCTAATGGTGTGTCATTTTCAAAAGCAATACGGAATCATAGAGCTACTAATTCCTCACATGTCAAATGCATCTTTTTTTTTTTGGGAGAGACCTCTTATCCTTGTTCAATAATCAATTGGTCCACGGCCTTCCCCCAACGATCCATCCCTTTTACTATTTTTCACTCTTTCAGTCATCTGTTTAGAGAGGAAAAAAGCATCTTTGGCAACACATTGTTCAGGCTTATTATTGGATGACTTGACTAGAAAGAAATCAAAGGATCTTCAATGATAAAGAGCTAACTTTTGATCGTTTTTAAGAAGCTATAGTTTTTTTGTTGCCATCTCCGGGTGTAAATTGTCTCCCACATTTCATTTTTTTTATTTTTTTTTATTTTGCAACTCCCTTGAATTTTGGGGCTTCTCCCCCATGTTGTAATTTCATAAATCAATGAAATTGTTTCTTATAAAAAAATAAGTCACATGAAGTTTTTAAAGATTGTGTGCACCTAGATGGAACTTTGTAGGAGATCCTTTTGTTGGTCCAAATTGATCATGTGAGTTGGGGTTGGGATGTGTAGCACTACAAATACGAGACATCTCCATTTTCAAACCTTCCAAGTAATCAGCCTCGTGTAATAGTTTAGTTTATTTTTTGATTGTAAACCGGCTTTCATTGAGAAAAAATGAAAGAGAACAAGTACAAAGGGGCATACAAAAAGACAGCCCACCCATGGAGTCTGAAAGCTAACTATACAAGAAGGGATTCCAATTCAAAGAAATAAGGCCTAATGAGTAAGAACAAAACTCGAGGCTCTTTTAGCCAAGTGGAGCTGGAGATTTCTTTCGGAAGAAACTGCCCTTTGGAGGAGAGTGATTTTGGCAAATATGCCTTCTCCGACCACTGGAATTCTCATCCAAACCGGATTTTTGCTTCAACAAAAGGTTTATGGAGAGACATTGACAAGCGGAAATCCTTGATCTTTGACAGAATCACTTATAAAGTGGGTACAGGCTTTCTCCCAAGGTTCTGGATTGATGTTTGGCTCACCAGAGAACCCCTCTGYCAAGCCTACCCCSTTCYATTTTYCTTACACTCCAGAAAGTTGSGCTCTGTACAMGATTTTTGGTCCTCGTCGGATAACAATTGGGACATCCAATTTCGAAGGCACCTAAAGGATGCTGAGATTGATGAGCTAGCATCTTTCCTCCACAATCTTTCCTCCATCAGCCCTTCTACCAATCGAGATACTATTATTTGGAGTTTGGAATCACATAGACAATTCACCACCTCCTCCCTCATTAAAGACATCCACCAAACAGCAACATCACAGACAACTTCCTCTCTGTACAGTGCTATCTGGAAAGATCACTACCCAAAGAAGATAAAGTTCTTCCTATGGGAAACTAGTTTCAATGCTATCAATACACAGGAAAAGCTCTAAAGACGTATGCCCTTCATGAATATTTCTCTGCACCCGCAAAAAACATGGCGAATCTAGTTGTCTCTTGTGATTTAACCTCAAGTTTTTGGCAAAAGCTCCTTTCTCTTTTTGGATGGTCGACGGCTTTACCTACCGATTTATCGATGCTTCTGGACTATACCCTAACCGGTCACCCGTTCAAAAGGAAGAAACTTTGCCTTTGGCTTCATTTTGTTTGGACGTTTCTTTGGACGATTTGGTTGGAAAGAAATCAAAGAATCTTCCAAGATAAGGAGCGTTCCCCGCATCTCTTATTTGAATCCATAGTTTTCTTGGTGATATCTTGGTGTAAATGCTCCCCTATATTTCATCACTATAGATAAGAGAGCTTTTTTGTAGCCCAATTTGGGCCCCTTTTGTTATCATATTTCATATATCAATGAATAGTTTCTTGTTCAAAAAAAAAAAAAAAAGAGTAAGAACAAAACTCTTTAGACATCGACGCTGGAATAGAGGTGTTACATCTAGCAAAAGGCCACACCAACTCGGGTGGGAGATCGAAGATTCCTGAAAATTTTGTTGTTCCTTTCCAACTAGAGGCTCCATGTCATTGCAAAAAAACCCATCTGCCAAAGAATCCAGTCGTTGCCACGAAAAGGAGGATTGCGATAACCTCCTCTATCATATCTGAGCAGCCTCTAAGTTTAACCTATGGTGGAACACCTGGAAGAAACAATCCCAAATAGTATGGGCATACTAACAATTTCATAAAAAATGGTTCAGGTTTTCAGCATCCTTGCAAAAAACACACCAAAACAGCCCCACTACCATGGAAGAAGGCCTTAGGAAGGATCCAAAGTGTTCACTTTGCGAAGTAAGTTCCGTGTAATAGTTTATTCTCTTGAGCTATACTAGTCTCTTTCTCAATGTTCTATTTACTTGCTAACCTTCTTAGTCAATCCGCACTTGGACAGTGCTATTCAGGCTCATGTAGGAACTTAAGGCACCTAAAGTATGTCATAAGCGCTGAATGAGTGATTCCAAAATCACTTGGCAACGTACTATTATCTTTCAAATGAAAATCTCTCATTACTTCTATTAAGGTCGGTGATGAATTCATTAGGTATGTATTTCTTTATTATGGCTTTGCGAGTGATTTTGATAGGTAGGAAAAGCCCCAATCAGATTTACTTATCTGAGTAGAAAGGCACCTGAGCCTAAGTGATATAAGAGTGAGGTAGGAAGTTGAGTTGCCCTTGTGGGTATATTTTGCAAGGGGTGTGGCAGGATAGGTGGCCCACTTTTGTACTTCTGTTAGCACATGATTGCTGCCTGGTCGGGGTAAAAGGGTAGTGAATATTTTGAATCGGTATGGAAGAGACTCAAACCTCGCGAGAGCTTTGGGTACTTGTTTGGTTGCTTGCTACTTCTATTCTATTGGCAATTGTCTTTTGTGTTCATTTTAGATGTGTTTTCTTGAATGAATTTTTTAACTTGACATTCTTTTGGGCATTTTCCGAAGAAGTCTCTTTTTTTTTTTAATTTATTGGTTCAATTTCTTGAGGTGAGAAAAGGACTGGCAGTAAAAATCCTACCTAGCCCATTGAGATTACGAATGTATTAACACAAGAACAAAAGAACCGAATAAGGGCAGCAGGGATGTAAAGGCCCCCCGAAAACTAAAACATTAAGGCCTTCCAATCTTGTAGGATCAAGTATAAGCTATAGTTACAAAAGAACTGAGGGTTGAAAATGATCATAGTTTAGTGGTTAAGGCATTTATGCCTTCAAATTTTAACTCCTACATTTGTTGTAACTAAACAAGTTTATAGATATTAAAAAAAGATTCAGAGTGCCGAACAGGGAGCTGTTGGTCTATTAATTTCAAAACTCTTTATTAAATTAGGCTATAAAAAATCTGGAGGTGTGCAATTCTTACAAAATTTTGTACGTTTTGTGGATGGAGCACGATAATGAGATGCATGCTAATTTTGGCTAATTTGCTGTTTTTCTGGTCTACTATTTGTCTTGATAGAAACAATTTGTCTTCGATTCTGATTTAAAAGATGAACTAATGATGATTGCTCTTCACAGTTTTGATTCAAGAGGCATTGTGTTTTAGTTACTATTGTCAATCTCTGAGTGTTTTGTTTATTTAGCAATAGATGTCCCGGTGCCAGTATATATTTGTGCCACGTTAAGGCTCTTAAATTTGTTTATTTAGAACTTGGGAAACTTCTGATGATATGCCATATTCCCTTGGTTCTTAAATTGTTATATTTTGACATCCTGCTCTCGTGTATGTAGGTGCTTGATCGTGCTCAGATACGGTCCGATGAGTACGAGGTTATGAAAGATCATATCTTACCGCTTGGTCGAGTACCTCAATTTTCATCACAGAATGACGCCTAGAGGACAAAAACTTGCATCTTCAACCAAAACGTCAGTAGTACACTTGAGACAGATTTAAATTTCTGGCATTGGCAGGGTTGATATTTCGATTCGTGTCGATGTTCAATTCCCAGAGGGTCCGATCCAATTCACTCTGTGTAATAATCAGTAACTGTATATATTTCACTCTATTTTTACGGGTAGGTACTTATTGGTATTTTTTCGGGAAGAATTAGTTCGACCTCCAGGCGGGTCAGTGTTGGTTGATAATGTAAAGATTTTCTTCAAGGACTGGTTATAAACAGGTGTGGTCTCTGTGCCATTGTGGTGATTTTTACCTTGTTATTTTTGAACAACTCAACCCAAAACCACATTTTCTCTGTTTGACCCCTTTTTGTCCCAAAATTTTGAGGTTTTATTAGAGAATATTATAAATATCACACTATTATTACGGTTATTTGGAGCTTTGATTTATTTTAAACCTTTTATAGGAGTATATTTTGCTAATTTTGGAGGAGACTTACAATTTAAAGATGCCAAAAGTTTTTATGGAAAAAAAATATTGAGGTATGTCCAAGATATTCAAGCTTTCAAAGAAAAAGAAAATGTCCAAGATGGTTATAATATAAAACTTTGTTAATGTCATTAATGAACATAGTTTGAACCTTTTTTTTTTTTTAAGTGAGGGTTTAAGTGTGGCTTTATGAAACTCGTGGATCAAAAGTGATCTTTTTTTTTTCTTTCTTTTCTCATATAAAGTTGTGCATCATTTTATTTTGTTGTCACCAACTTTATTCCAAGCAAAAAGATACACACAGAAATGATTGGACAAAAGAAAGAAAAGACCTCATTCACATGGTGAAAAAACAAGAATATGGTTAAAATGCATTGATAAAATTGAATGGTTTTGAAAACTATAGAAATAGCTCAACTTAAAAAAATGATAATCAATGATGAAAATATTGTAGTTAATGTCAATATGGATAACTCAAGTCTATTTAAATTTAACACTTATAAAAACATTAAAAAAAAAATTAACCGACTAAAAATACTTTTCAATATTTATATGTAATCAAATTTCAAAACTCTTAACATGTTTTATAGGAGAAATATTTAATTAATACTTTTACCAAAAAAGTCACTTTCCTTAAATAAAATACTCACTCAAAATGATAGCTACAATATGAGGAGGTGGGACCTTGAACTCTGATTAGAAATAAATACCTTAACCAATTAGATTGACAGGTAAAATAGTTACTACTATCATTGTAACTAATCAATATCAGTCCATATCATGATCAATCTGATTAGAAATTTGATTAGAAATTTGCTTCGTGAATGCAAATTTCAGGACCTGCAATAATTCAAACACAAGAAATACAGTGGAAAGTAGAAACCCTCTCATCCTCAATGTGCAAATCTCCACACAACAATTAACAGGAAGTAGTTTTAATGATACAACAGGTGAATCACAAAAAGGTTGGAAGTCCTTTGGACCAATAAATTCCCTCTCAGCAAAGTGAAGTGAAGAGGAAGAGCCCTTCCAAATAGCCTCATAGCTCATCCTGCAACACCAATGGCAATAAGGAGTTTGAGAGAGGGAAATGAGTTTATTGCAAGGATTTAGTGTAAGGTTTTATGCTCCAACATGAACACAACTACAGAAATATTGAATGCTAAAATTGTATTTAGGTTTGGGCAAATGGATGCCCTTCTACTGAATGGAAACCAGCCATAAAAGGCATAATGGTTAAACTATAACTAATCAACCATAATTTAGCAGCCTAAGTAAAATTTATCATAAATGGATCATAGAAAAAGATGCTTATTGACATGTCAATATTTTCCATAAATTGGAGACTTCGGCATCGATATTAGAGGTTAATTGATACTATCAATTGGGATGTATAACTGGTCTTAAAAACGAAAACTTATTTATCAATTCAAATTTTTTACTAGTTTCTTAATTTCCATTTTTTTAAAAGAATATTGAGGGACATCGGCCTTTTATTATTGACATCTTCATTACGGAGATCAAGATCTTAACATTTTTGTCAATATTGAAATCCTTGAGATGGATTCAGAACATAAATTATACATCAAAATAAGGAAAAGCAGGGAAGGACTACTTACGTGGTAGTAGTCATAGTCATGCCGATCCTGCGGAAAAACAAACTTTTTAAGATTAGAATTATTCCTGTGCCCATAAGAATAATTTTTCAACTACAAAATTTCGAGTATGAGAAAGCTCATGTTCTTCCCAAGTGGTGAGGAAGAAAGCTAAAGAGTGATTTAATCTTGAAGAGTTTGGATCCTGAGGATGATGCTGGTTAAGAATTGTTCGATTGCATGAGTGCAAGCCAGACAGAAACATCAGTAGCTTTGAGAAAGCATCTAGAATGAACTGGACAATCACTGAATTCGGTTTAAGAATTAATTGCAACCAATAAAATCATATGGTACAAATTGAAAACTAATGAAACCACGAAACTACTCCTGCTACAACACTGTTGCACAACACAAATTAAAATCTCAGAATGAAATACATATTTACTAATTATTATCTATCTACACAGGCAAGCATCACATGTCACCTAAAAGAAAAAGGGAAAAAAGAAAGAAGGTAGAGCAATCAAGTAAAAGCTACTGTCCAGGGAGTTGATAAAATAATTGCAGTCGACATACATTTGCCCACCTCTTCGGTGATTGCCGTGTCCGAAAGAGAAAAGAGCTAAATTATAGATGATAAATTATAGATCAGATATGTTCAGTTAGAATAATACCCTTCGGTAGTTCCTCCTCCTATCTCTATGACGATGGTCTCGCTCCCTTCTTCTCTTTTCACCTTCCTCTCGAGCCCTTTCAGCCTCCTACACCCACTCAAATTATATTAAATCGATGAAATTTTGGAACTCATATTGTGCTATGTTATCTGGCAAAATAATCCAGAAGACTTCTCACCTTTTCTTCCCTAGCCTTCCTTTCTTTCTCTGCTTCCTCAAAAGCTTCCTTTTCAGCCTGAAATTTTAAACACATTGAAATCAATAACTCTACATTCAATTATGGAAAAACTGTTTTTGTCTTTTTCTTTTTTCCCCCTTTTTTAATCCTTGAGGGTGTGTGTGTTTTTCTTTTGAACTTGGGACTGACCAAAATGAAATTTCCAAGTAAAAAAAGATACCTCCTTATTCCTTGCAAACGTATCATCAACAACTTCCTTTGCATACTGAGGATCATCGCATATCAAAATGTTGTCAAAAACTGATCCAGCTTTTACCTGCAATGATTAGTTAAACACCACACCACACATTAAGTAGATGCTACACAACATAAATTTAAAGACTAGTTTGTGTAGACACATAAAACACCTATTATACTTGGACTAGAATATAGAACCAAAAAGCAACTACAGACAAATATCAAATACCAATAATTAGCCAAATCATGAGAATATTTTAGGCATCTTTTTCACTTTCACTATGACAATGAATCAACTTCCTGAAAAGGAACACCGAAACAAATATGATAATTGATATCTACCTGCCAAACTTCAATGCCCACATACTTTATTGGTTTCAGCACGTAAAGCTTAGTATCGTCTTCAAACTCTGGATAAATAAAACAGCAGAAAAATGGAAGAAGTTAGTACGATGTCTTTTAATTTCAAGATTTTGCTAGCATCTGAACAGCTGACAAGAAACATACCGGGATTATCAATCCATGGGGTCTTCCACTTTCCCTTGTAATTTGGGTTCTTGATTTTCTGTAGTATGGCATGCCATTAAAATAAATAAGAACTCTTACAGAATAAATTTCAGTAAACATATAGAGCAAATCACTTTAAGGCACCTTACGCTTCCATGGTCCCTTGTATGCTGGATTTGGAACCTTTGGTGCCTTCCATATACCATCCTCATCCTCGTCCCAATTATCAGGCTATTTAAGAAACATAAAAGAGACAAAATATGTCAGAAAAGCATAAAACTAGTTTACAAAGGAAAAGTTTCCGAACAAAACTTGTTCCTAGTTGAACCCTTCAGCAATTTTGGGAAGGATGTAGACTTGATGTGACCACATTCCACATGCAGAATTATTAACAAACCTCTTTTGCCTTCGGATCAGGAATCTCAGCTGGAATTGAATCATATCCCTAAATAAAAGAATGAAAAACTCATTTAGACCTATGATATTTAACAATCTACTACCATCAGGTAAAAGTATATCTAAATACCTCTGGTTTAACATCATTAGGATCTTCAATGTATTCTCTGTCATCCCAGTCAGCAGGCTGTAAGGTAAAGGGAAGTTTAGAAACTGTATCATGTATATTTGCAAAGAAACCATTTGGCATCTCTTTGATAATGACTTGGAATCTTTAACACGAACATGAACACAGGAGCAGGCTGTAAGTATATTCTGATACAAGTTGCACATGGATACAACTTATCTAAGGATTTTGGTAATTTGGGCAGATAATCGTTCAAGGATAAGACCTTATTTTTCCACATTAGAGGATCTTATTTATAAAACTACCAATAAGTCCTACATAAGTGCACAAATTTTTAAAATAACAATTTCCAAAAAGCACCTTTTTTGCCTTAACATCTTTGATTTTCCTAGGTGGAAGGATGTCCCAATCAGAATACATGGTTCCAGAATCTCGTTCCCGATTATCAACAAGGATACTGTAACTTGCATCAGGCCTAAGAATGAATGTGTAAAAATGAGTTAACTTGTCCGTTTCACATTGCAAGTCCTTCTTTATTGGATAATTCTGCCCCTGGTAAGAAAGTATCATATGGAGCTTTTTCGTCTGCGAACCACATAAATCTGGTCCAAACATCAAACTGCAAAAATAGAGGTCTAGAATAAGTAATTTTCATTTTGTTTTCATAACATATTCTCCTACTTAACATTTAACAATTTAAAGACCATTGGAAAATTCATAAAATTGAATCAATAAAACTGATGAAACCCATGGCAAAAAGGATAAGGATCCCTTTTTTAATATAATCTTAATTTTTTAGATAAAAAGATAAGGATTTCAATTCCAGTAGCTGAAGAACGGAGTAGAGTAACTGCTTACTATCTTAATAGTTAGTAATATCAAGCAAAATACCCCAATTACATGAAAATTTAAAATAGATTCTACGTACAATTCTTCATGATGGAGTTCGCACATACCAGTTCTCAGTCATATTGTAACATTAGGAAGAAAAAATACCCATACGTAGGGTCATTGTCCAATGGCAGAGAAAATATTGCCCCAGCAAGTTGGATCTTATCATTAAAGTAATTATTTCTTTTATCAAATAAATGTAAATTTATAAATAAATAAAAAAAAGAGAGAAATGATACATTGAAATATCACGAAATGAACAAATAAAGAACATTTTGGAACAGCATTATCATAGCATGATGACAGACCTGTAAGGGGTATCACCACCATATTTCTTCTGATTGACATAACCAGAATGAAGCTTAATATAACCTCCACCACATTCAATATCCTGTTCAAATTTAATAGAGTACTGAACCACTAGAGTTCTGTTCTCATTGCTGAACTCTGGTATCTTTGCAGATATGGCAAAATGCTTAGCATCATTGTAAGTCTGAAGACCTGCAAAATCATCATCAGCATCTGCTATAACATTTCAAGAAAATATCATAACAAACAAATTAACCTGTCACAGGCATGCACACAAAGGGAATAGATCAAAATGACTTGGAGAAAATCAATTTCCTAAGAGAAAAGGGACCTCGTTGGCAGATATGAGGCTAAGCTAGAAATTTGCACCTATAGCCATAATTCTTTGTACTAAAATAAAATCTCGTCAGTGAACCAATCTTGTTCGTTCCTTTGACAGATAAAAGCAAGACGAATCTCAAACTTATCATAACAAACGAAACACATAATAAATACCTTTATCATCTGGATCTCCGGACCATTTTCCGGCCGTGTGTTTGAAAGTCCCAGCTTTCCCTTCACTTCTTTTCCAGTCAGATAAGACCCAACGACTCTTCCATCCATCTAGCCCCACAGAAAACAGTATTACGTGTCAGAGTAAGGAAGAAACGCAACCTAACTAAACAAAATCCAAATAGTAAACCTAAAATTCCCCCCAATTGCAGAAAACACAGCATTCAAATTACACTCATGCAAGTTCCAGCGAAGTCAACATCCAGAATCCAGGTTACTTTCTTAACACAGGCAGATTCCCCAGACTTGCAGCAAAAGAATCTAAATAAAAAATTTCATTTCCACAACACAATAACAAACATCAAAGAACTAGATCGTGCCCTGCTACATTCCATATCCCTAAAGCGGATCCTGCTCCAAAGAACGAAAACGAAAACGAATTCGTCCAAATCACGAAATCACAATGCTGAACAGACGAAAAAGATAAAGATTAGAGTTGACTGATTATTGAAGAGGAGGGCGAAACAGGAGGTTTTACCTTCGAAGCGCTCTTCGAAAAAAGTTTCAGAGAGAACAGAGTGGAAACTGAAGATGGAGTTGGTTGCTAGAAGGAGAATGAGTAGCTTGAGAGCGGGAAGAAGCTGGAGCTTGGGCTCCGCCATTAATTCAGAGCAGTCAAATGAAGTGTTTTGAGTTTCAGAGGAAGAGGAAGAAGAAGAAGGGTGTTAAATACTAAGTCCGTCGTCCTTTCTAGAAAACTACTTTTTGAATACGAGTGGAGTCAATTAGACGTAAATTGCACGATGAATTTAATTTACAAAATTTGAATCCTTTTTTTTTTTCATTGCTGAGTTGGACTTACTTTGACTATTTACAATTTTGAAGTATCTTATTTGATCAGAAAGTTTACCAACAATGCAAACTTTGTCCCGAACTGTGTGTGACTTGAAGGACGAGTTAAAGATGGATCGAGCAAGGGATCTGCAAAACAGAACACACTTCGAAGCTAAAGTCAGTAATTGATCGAACTAAACTCGAGAGAGAATTTAGTATTTGCACACCTTGATATGAAGCAAATGAGTTCTATTTATAAGCAGTTTTCCCGACATTATTTCCGACAAGGTCTCAACGGCTCTTTAAGGTAACCGTGAATAAATGACATGTTGTCGTGTGGTTTGTCGAAGACTGAGGCTGAGTCGAAGTAAAGATGATTGGTTCAACTAACAAATGAGAACGTAATCTCAAGTGAGCTTGGTTGGCTCGGCCGCTTAAGGGATTGGCTCGATCGTGAGAGACGAGGTCGAGGCATTCAGACTCAAGGTTTTAGTGATCAATGCCACGTATGATTTTCATTGTCTAATCAACATATGCCACGTGTGAGCTAAAAATCACCTCCAACATACCTATTTTCATTATGTATTGAAAAAATATATATATAATTTAAGTATTTTTTTTTACAACATATGGGGGTGGAAGATTAAACTCACAATTACCGTTGAGCTATACTCGCTTTTGCAATTTAAGTATCTTTTAATATTTGTATTCGGTGAGTTAAATAATATGCTAGAATTTTAAAACATGCTAAAGTAACAATTTAGTTTTTGAACTTTAATTTGTAATAATTTAGTCTATATGCTTTTAAATTGGTAACAATTTAATCTTTTGATAACTATTTAGTCTTATCACGAAAAATCTCATTAAAATTAGGTGTCAATTTTAATCATTATAGCAATTTAGTTTTTGTAATTTATAAATACATTTGGTTCTTTGTTGGTTTAAAAATGTACACATACAAGAAACTTAACAAAAGTTTTACCATTGTGGCTTTGCTGTCACAAACTTTAAATGACATGTATTAAATTGTTACATGCTAAAATTTAAGGACTAAATTGTTACCAATTGGAAATATAGAGAACTAAATCGTTACAAACTAAAGTTCATGGACTAAATTATTACTTCAATAAAAGTACAAGAACCAAAAGTATTTTTCCCGCAAAAATATTTTAAATACTATTTTGGTGTCCGAATTTTCAATTTTGATTCATTTTGTTTTATATATTTTTAAGACGTCCATTTTAGTCCTTATACCTTTAGCTTTTGTTTATTTTAGTCCTTGTACTCTAGAAACATTCGTTGTAGTCTATGTGCTTTTAAAGAGAGACCATTTTCATCTATTTATTTTAATTTTTATCTCAATTTTTGGATCAAAATTTCAACATAAAACTTAGTTCACTAAATTTCTTGAAATGTAGTCATAAATTTGTATTAAAAGTTTTTAGTGTGTATAAAATTTGTACTAAAATTTTATAAATAAAGACTAAAATTGTTACTTTTTAAAGTATAAGAACCAAACATTTTAAAAGTGTATAGATTAAAATAAATAAAAATTAAAATAATTACAATAGACGTTTTAAAAACATAGAGACTAGAAGAAGTAAAAATAAAATTACATGGACTATTTAAAACAAGCTTTTAAAATATTTATTCAAACTTTATAAAAACGTAATCATATTAATTTGTTTTTTCTTTAGATGACGTTATTATTACTTTTATATATATATATATAATACACCCACACCATTCTTATACTTTTAACTTTAGTTCATTTTACTTATTATATTATCAAAACGTTCCATTCTTATACTTTTTTTAATGTAACAGTTTGATTCCTATTTGCAAAAGTTTAACCTAAATTCCATCATTCATGAGTATAATATCAACATGAAGAGTAAATAGACATTTCCATCATCCACGAGTATAACATCAACCTGAGGAGCAAAAATAAACATTTCCATCCTATCATTAACATTTTTATGAAACTGATACCTCAGCATTTTAAAAACCATCCTATAACTTTTGTTTGAGAGAAAAAGTGGAGTCCTGCATGGCAGATTATGATTGGGTGAAATAGGACAGGAAGGCGCTGATTGGTGTGTTCGTGAGGAGAACACGTCGGCAAGCGTAGTCAACGGGAAAGTCATTGGCTTTGGAAATTTTTTGTTTCGTGGAATTGACTCCACAACTTCGGTCCTCATTCCTCAAACCTCGTGATCTACTATTACATATCAAACCATATAATTTTTTTTTAACAATATAAATATATACATATAATAAAATAGCAATTAAATTTTACTTTTATCTTAGTCCGCAAGATTTTTTCTTTCTTTTCTATTTTGATCAGATTTATTTTATTTTGAGCTTTATTTATATTGTAGTATTTAAACTTTTAAAATTAACTAATTTTGATGTCTTTATCTTTATTTTGCTTTTAACATATATAATTTATGTGATTTTGAGTATGTGTATTAATGGACCGACGTTGGTATATATTGTAGTCAAATACCTTTCTTGAGACAAGTATGTGATGAATATTATATTACAAAATTATAGGAAAGACCAAAATTATTATTATTATTATTATTAAGTTTAGATACTAAAATAACATTTCTTTTTTTAGTTTATGGACTTGAGAGTTAGGGAACTAAAATGGAATAAGCATGAAGATTTAGGACCAAAATCAAATTTAAATCTTACTATTATTGATTATTAAAAATAAGAAAAAAAAAAGTCAATAGACAAATCCTATTACTATGAGATGATTCACTTTAGTCTAACCATGTAAACATTTTTTATAGGGATCAATAACAAAGTCATCTAGACCTTAATAGACCTCACATCGTAAATCAATAAAAGAATATGTGGGTTATATTGTCACACATAATTCTCTCGTTCACTATTTTAAAATTGACGTAGGTGCTTAAAATACATTTTTAGTACTCAAGTAACCAAAAACGTGTTTATTAAAGTGATAAACATATATAACTCACCTCCAAATGCCTAAAATTATTGTCTTTTGCTCCTAAATAGCTTGAACGTGCCTAAAATGATTAAATAACAAAAAATGTGACTAAAGTCAACTACCCAAACTAACCCTTAAAAGCAAAATAATAATAATAATAATAATAATAAATAAATAAATAAATAAATAATGAATCACTCAAACCAGTGTTCAAAATGTCGATGTCGATGGAAATGTCGAGGTCTCGATTTTAATAGACATGTGGATGTCGACGGATATTTTGGGAAAAATAGTGGAAATTGTGGAAATTGATGGAATTTTTTTGAATTAGCAAATAAAACTTAAATTGTAGCTTAATTAGCCTATAATTGATAACATTTAACCATAAATGTAAGAAAATATGACTATAAAATGTCGACGTCAATGGAAATATCCTAAAAAGAAATATTTCTTTAATGAAGATTGATGAAAATTATTTGAATATGTAAAGTAAACTTTAATTCTAAACTTTTGACTACTTCTTTAGCGTATTTCATAATAGGATTCATTTGGAGATGAGATAATTACCGACTTGGTTTCCAAACACATTTCTAAATTCTAATTAACTCGTACTTTTTTACTTTTTACCAACTTGACTTTTAAAATTTGAATTTACACATTTTTTCAAACACATTTTCAAATCAATCATCAATCCAACTTTCCAATCAAATCTAAACAACTTCCAAACACATCTCTAGCTAATTCACCCAAATTATTCTTACTTTTTTTCTTTTTTTTTTTACTTTTTTACTTTTTACCTACTTTTCTTTTCAAAATTCAATTTACAAATTTTTTAAACACATTTTCAAATTAATCATCAATCCAATTTTCTAATCAAATTTACACAATTTCCAAACGTAGTCTAATTCACTCATATTACTCATTTGAGCAATTACCTTAAAAAATTTCAGTATAGGATGACCTGGGTGAACTATTGTAATTTATATCAAAGTTATCAAGATAGTGCACTAGATCCTCCAAGGTCATCTTTTGGTATTAATTAAGTTACATATTATACTTCATGTATCACCATTATTTGTATATAGTAATATTTTAATTTTTTAAATTTCTAAGATTATTTCAATCTTTATATATATATCAATATTTCATATATATTATTCTATTGTGTAACTAAGGACTAAATTAGATTAGAAATTATCAATAAAGCAAATTCTGAATCTTATTAGTTATACAATATTAAAATACGAATGTTGCATTGAACAGATTAAGATTACAATCATCGAGATTGTGAGAAATTATAGACTATAGTGGCATAGTAGGAAGAAGACGAAAATAAAATAACCCTTAAAAACAAAAAAAAATGACATGTCAACATGTCAACGAAATGGGGGAAAAGTCGACTTTCCCCCGTATCGATGTCGAGCATGCCTATACATCGACATGTCGACGTGTCGCTCGACTTTTTGAACTATGACTCAAACACACTAAAAAATTCCCATAAACTCACCGAAACAAACTCCAAATCTCATAAACTTACCCAAACTACTTGGTCACATTTTTTTGTTATTTAACCATTTTAGGCAAGTTCAAGCTATTTAGGAGCAAAAGACAATAATTTTAAGCATTTGGAGGTGAGTTATATATGTTTATCACTTTAATAAACACGTTTTTGGTTACTTGAGTACTTAAAAATGTATTTTAAGCACCTACGTCAATGTTAAAATAGTGAACGAGAGAATTATGTGTGACAATATAACCCACATATTCTTTTATTGATTTACGATGTGAGGTCTATTAAGGTCTAGATGACTTTGTTATTGATCCCTATAAAAGATGTTTACATGGTTAGACTAAAGACTTCCCAATACTTCAACGATATTCTTTAAGGCCCCAAGTCACTCAAGTTATTTCTTGGGGATACAGCTCAACACAT